CGACACTGTTCCGGTGTACTGGCACTACTAGCCTTATTAAAATATCATCGTTTATGTCCCCCTCACTAATCAATCTGACATTTGAATTGGTAAAGCACGTTATTTGCCCCAAATGATTCTAATACTGTCTAAAACTACATAAGTAAAAATATTTCTCTACACATATTTTCATTGCCTATTTAAGAGCCTTACGATATCAATTAAAAAAAAAACTTTTTTAGTTTTTGCCTAAATAGAAACAAAATTATCTCTATGCTAAATAAAAGCATACCATACTAGCGGTCGGCATTAACTTCGTCAGCGCATTAAAAATTATCCGATAATGTGCCCGCCAGTATGCTATCTTCCCATTAAAGTCCTTTCAAAATCGGTCCACCCGTTCCGGAGATTACCTGGAACAAACTCGGCTTGCAGACAGACATACAGACAAACCAAAATTTTTAAAATTGATTTTCGATATTATACAGACACTATAATTTTATTAATACAGTAGTAGATATATATTTGAATTAACAATGTACGTCAAATAACGTTTCTTAGAAGTTAAATCTTCCACGCGACTTCATTAAGCAAATGCCGTCTTTTAAATTACAGACGAAGCGAAGAAATGAAAAGCGAAGTCAGGTTAATGTTCAATTCTTTATATGAACTCAAAGACTCTTTGTTTGGATTCTTATAAAGTATTTTATCTTAGTGCCAAAAGGCTTATCAAGATTTCGCGTTCGTTGGTGGCTCAGAGTTTAAAACACTTCATAGGTTCGAATCCTGCCTTGTACCTATGTGTTTTTAAATTAACATATGTACATTTATCTGGCGTTCTTGCTGTGAACGAAAACATCGTGATGCTGCACATATCTGTAAAGAAATTCAAAGATATGTGTGAAGTCAACCCGCACTGGCCAGCGTGGTTGACTATTACCTAGTCACTAACTAAGGGTAGGCTCCGAGCCCCTCAGTGGGGACGTATAGTGAGCTGATGATGATTAGTATTAAGCCTATAGCTTAAAGGAATTGACAATATTTTTAACATTGGAGTATTTAACTCCGCAGCGGTAGAGTCAATGATCTAGGTTTTGTATGTTAATTAAGATTTAAAACCACGATTGCAATCGAAAGTCTGTGCTATTACTATTAATTATTAGTCTATTGGGGTTCTTTAATATCTGTCTTCTTTAGTGATTTTTAAATCATTTCTTGTATTATGTCCCGGAGGCCTTAGTCCTTTTTCTCTTCCCACCGTTTTTCTTATAAGGAAACGATAGGAAGTGGAAGTGGACTTTCCGGATGAGAGGATTCATGGAAAGGGAAAATATTTTCTTTCTGTGCTTCATCTCCTTCGATTAAAGGTAGGCAACGCATATGCAATAGCGTATGTCTATGGGCAACGGTCACTTCGCTATTTCAGCGATTTCAGGTGGCCGCTCGCTCGTTTGCCACCTTATGATATAAAAAAAAATGAAACTTAAAGTTTTTAAAACATCTTAGCACTATATATATATACAGATGTTGTTAGTAAGATGTAGTATATGTTCCCAGTACAATACAATGGATGCAATAACTTAGCTGCCAAGAGCAGCGTTGCCTTGTAAAGGCTAAAGTCCCACCTTTAAGTAATTTGTGAGATTGGATTTGATTCCAAGTATCCTAAATGGCTTAGATTCGCTTTATTTTTAAGATTAAAAGGTTAAAACATAATATTATTCTTCTTTTAATTTATTTAGTTTGAGGTCCATAAATGATTTTGAGAATAATAATTTCAATTATTTGGTTAGTAAAAAACTCTTCTAAAATCAAATAGCAAACCTTACTTTTTAATTATATTATAAATTCGAATGTTTAGATGGATGGATGTTTGTTTGAAGGTATCACGAGCACGACTGAACGGATCTCGATGACATTTGGCATACATATACAACACAGTTTAGAAGAACACATAGGCTACTTATTATGTTTATTTTAAAATAATGAATTGCATGATTTCATATTCTCAGTTACTGTTAAGTTTTCACTAAGTCGTTTGTTTGTTTGATTAAACGCGCTAATCTCAGGAACTACTGGTCCGATTTGAAAAATTATTTTTTTGTTGGATAGTCCATTTATCTAGGCTTTCGGCTACAACTACAACATTACACGGACGGAGTCACGGGCGACAGCAAGCCTTTTATAATCCTTTCAAAATGTATCAAGGCAAAATTTTTGCGCAATTTTCTAATCATAAAACACATAATTTTTTGCGAGGAAATGAACATCAAGTACAAAGTACGAGGAAAGAAATTAACTTAACTCCCGCGGTTTGAGCTTAAAAGCTCGTGCTCTTTGGAGCGCGACCAAGTAATAAATGGATTATATTAAACATTCATACAAACTGCTTATTCATTTTCAACGAATAAGTGTTATTGAATTATATTAACTCTATTCACATTTGCATATAAAGTTTGAATCATAGATATTATAATTTTTTTTTACTTTATAATAATAGTAAAATATTAATTTCATCTGAAAAATTATATATTTTCATATATTTAAAATTATTCTATAAATTTACTTTATAACAAAAGAGTCTTAAATCTATGACATTAAATAAAATATTATAAACGAATAATTAACTAAAATATGTTATTAAAAGGAGTCCCTTTATGCAAGGTTCCGAAGTTGGCAGCGTTCCCCCTTTGAATAGCTATACTAATTCCTTTAATTTTATCTGTACATATGAATTAAAATATATATTAAATATCGAAAACAAATCTCACATTTCTTACACGTGGTTTTTAAAATTGTCTGTCTGTCTGTATATTACACTACGATCAAACGCCCGCGACTGCGTCCTCGCGAAATTAAATAAAACTTAATAAGTAGCCTATGTGAATACATACCAGACTATGTTCTGTATGCATGGCAAATTTCATTAAAACCCGTTAAGCCGTTTCCGTGATACCTTCAAACCAACATACATCTAAACATACGCGTTTATAATATTAGTATGATATAGTCGAAAAACATTACTATTCAATAGTTAATATCACCGATTTTTTTCACAAGTAAACAAAAGCTTAGTTTGTACATTTAAAGATTTAATGGAGGTCGGATTTTGTGAACAGGATTTTATAACGTCGTATAGAATATCGATTGCCCACATTTGCGGCTACGATTTATCCTTTAAAAGCAGTAAACGTAAACCCCAAAGTCGTAGACATATCGTTTGAATTCGCCTTGTTTTAGTCCGACTGACAGAGTGTTAAAGTTTTTTTGTTACTCAAATAAATTGCAATACTAGTCTTCGGCCGCGTCTTCGTGAGCGTCATAATTTAAAAAGTAACCTATAATATGCATGCGTGTTTCAGCTACCTTCTAATCTAAACCCCGTCAAAATAGGTCCAGCCGTTCCGGAGATTACCCGGAACAAACGAACAGACAATGGTTTTCGTTATCTACAATACATATTTTTTTCGATATAACATACAACCTAATTTTGTTATGTATAGACAATACCAAAATAAACAAATAACAGTGGTAGAGCCCGCTTTAACATCTTCGCACGAATCGACCCGGCTCGCCCGGTGAAATACCACGACCACACAGAAGACAGGCGTGAAGTGGAATCAATTCCGCGTTTCGTCTGATGAGTGTGCGTCCCGGAGGCTTAATTTAATCCTCTTTCCCTGCCCACCCTCTTTCTCTAAAGGAAAGAATGGGAAGTGGAAGTCGACTTTCCGGATGAGAGGATGCATGGAAGGGGAAAATATTTTCTTTCTCTGCATCCTCTCCTCAGTCGATTAAAGGTAGGCAACGCATATGCAGTTGCGTATGTCTATGGGAACCGGTCACTTCGCTATTTCAGCGATTTCAGGTGACCGCTCGCTCGTTTGCCACCTTATGATATGAAAAAAAAAAACAGTGTAGTCTTAAATTGCAAATGGCGGCTGATAGACGTTATTATAAAATAAGTGTAGCTAAAGTTATATTAAAGAAAAATTGTTTTAAATAAATTGGATAAACGATTATGTTGAAATACGGCTTTGGATTGAAATTAAATATATTCTTTTATGTAGTTTCGTACTATTTTACGAATGTCAAAAGTAATTTGTTTTTAAAATACTTTGCTACTCGTATATAATACAGGTTGTAAAGTTGATTACACAATTAAGCTTTAGTACAATGTTTTTACTATAAACTATATATTCATTTACTAAGCAAGTGATTAATACTAAGTAACAGCTGGAAGGTACCTTTATTGACCAATTTATTTCATTTTATGGCTGGTTATTACTCGAATGCCGGTACTTTAGTTTTGTGGAATACAAACTAATTGCCGAAATAACTTAAGCAGTAAAACAATCATCTAAATTTGAATTAAGAATTTAACGTGAGATTTCATTGTATAAAAATATATCACAATCTTTTTTTTCAGTCTGTCTTCTAAAAAAAATTGTTGCTAACTTTCGTATAGATCAGTAGAAACGCACCGTTACAATCTACTTTAATTTAATACTGCCTGTTACGCACTGCATCAGTTTATACCATGCTTGGTTAGACTGTGTATTTCGCAGATATTTGACCCCCCTTTCTGACTATGGGCGTGGACGATCGCTTAACCTTCACTAACATAACGCCAGCCCTACTTAGCTTTTGTACTAAGGGAAGTAATTTTCATGTGCTTTGCAAATTAAAAATTGCATTCAAGATTATATCGTACACCTTTAACGTCTGACAGATATCTGAGATTCCTCTGGTGTTCCATGGCACAGAATATTAAAGCAATTCGCTGTCCGTTTTGTTCAGTTTTCGTATAAAAAAGTCCTTTGTTTATATTTAATAAAGACTGTGAAGGAAGCTTTTAATCAATCTCGTTCACAACAATTACAAACTGGCTGTGCTCCAAACAAGCACGGCTTTTAACTGTTATCAACGATTCATTCGATATTTAATGAAATACACAAATACATGAAAAATAAACCTAATATAATTTAAAGATAAATTTGGGTCATTGGATCACTGAGGATATGAAAGATAATTTGGATATTGAAAGAGAACGTAGGTCGCTGTCTGTTCGCTGCAACATGTTGGCCCGCAGATTTGCAAAATGTACCGAACATGTTAAGTTAACTCTTTTTAAAGCATACTGCCAATCCTTCTATACCTGCAGTCTGTGGGTTGACTACACGCAGAGAACATACAGAGACCTACGTGTGCAGTACAACAACGCGTTCAGGATGTTGATGGGGCTGCCGCGTTACTGCAGTGCCTCCGGCATGTTCGCGGACTCTCGTACTGACGGGTTCGATGCCATCATTCGAAAGCGCTGCGCCTCCTTATTGCGGCGAGTGCGTGACAGCCCTAACAGGATCCTGAGCGCCTTGACGGAAAGGTGGGACTCGGCGATGCTGGAGCATTGGATACATTTACATGTAGACTAGCGCATTCTGGCATCGCTGAGGAAACTTCACTTCTTCTTCTTCTTTTTAATTTAAATTGTTTATACTAACATTAGTTTTTAAGCTATTACTAACCCTAGAATAAGAATATGGATCCATGTTATCTGAGATAAATAAATTATTATTATTATAAAAAAGTTTTTAACATATCTTTTAAAACAAACCTTAACTGGACTAAAAGCTTAAAAGAATGATTTTACTTGACTTGATTTTATTTCGTATTTATCGATAAAACTCTACAACTTTAGTAGAGATAAATGAATTCTTTTAATATTTTTATTTTATTTGTTTTACTGTTTAATTAAATACGTGTTTTAACCTTTTGATCGCCGGTGATTGATATTCAGGTCGGCAACGTACTTATAATCTTATATCTTTAAATGAGCAATTCTTGTACATATATATAATTGGAATCTCGGAATCGGCTCCAACGATTTTCATAAAATTTAGTATATAGGAGTTCTCGGGGGCGATAAATCGATCTAGCTAGGAATCATTTTTAGAAAATGTCATTTTATTCGTGATTTATCGATAATCAACTTAAACATAAACTTAACTTTTTCTATCGGTAAGATAGAAAAATATTATTCATATTTTATCATTTTATTAGTAATTCGTACTTAAATATAATTTGCAAAAAAAAACACAATTTAAAAAAAAAACCTAACAAAAAAAATTCAAGATCGTATTTGGAAAGTCTACATAATATCATGTTTCAATAATTAGAATTTTTGATAATGTAAAACATATCAGCATGCGTAGTTCAGAAAAAAGTTGACGTGACGTATGTATACGTTAAAATATGTGGTTACGCCCTTACATCTAACATAATTTTAAACAAAGGTTTATAAAAATTGTCGCATGTTGATGGCAATAAAGATTATGTTGATTGCGAATCCTGTTAGTAAAATCTGCGGCTGTAACAGCTGCTCGTAAAATTTCATTACGACCGAATCTGAAAGGCCTTGTCATAAACATTTACGAATATATGTTATGTATTAAACATATATTATAAAGAAATTTATACAGAAGCAAAGCATAGATTATTTAAATCTTACTAATATTAGAAATCATCATAAGCTATACGTCCCCATTGGGGCCTCGGTGACTAGGCCATAGTCAACGCTGGCCCAGTGCGGGTTGACTTTACACATATCTTTGAATTTTTTCACACATATGTGCAGCATTACGATGTTTTCCTTCACCATAAGAACGTCGGATAAATGTACACATGGCGGGATTCGAACCCAGGACCTGCAGTAGTCAAGTGCTTAAACCGCTGAGCCATCGATGCTCTTCGGTAATTTCTAATAATTCTAATTCTAATATTATAAATGCGAATGTTTAAATGTCGTAATTGTCAAATTCGATTGACATATCTTTTTTTTAATTTACACTTTTACTCTCACAACACTTTTGATTGACAAAACCATTGTGATAACACTTGTGTGAAAACACTGTTTGAATAAATATTAATTATTGTTACGCTATTCATTTAATTTGGTCCTAATATAAAGCTCAATGTTACCCAAAAAGGTAAGGTTTTATTGTTTTGAAAATTTCTTCTCGCAATTCTAATTACGTGCACAACTTTTGGTATTCGTCGACTTCAGTTATTACTTTTATGATTTACGTTCCAACTGAAAACCAATTCAATATGAGTGTTAACTTTTTATATCAAAAAGTTGAGGAACTTTATCTTTTACTTTTCTACTGTAATTAACCACATTGTTTACTTTTTTGTGGCTCTTTTAAACTTGATCTAACTACTAGCTGTCGCCCGCAACTCCGTCTACGCGAAATGAAGAAAAAATCAATTAGTAGCCTATGTCAAATTTCAGTGAGATTTATGGAGCTATTCTGGAGATACCTTCTTACAAACATCCATCCATTGTAAGATTATTCTGGCAGTGTATTACTAGACATTTTTACTATGGTTGTATTAGTTAAGTAAAACCTTTTAGCTATTTTACTTCTTAATTTAATAATCAGTCTTTTTATGTAAGTCCCAAATTGGTACAAGTGGAGAACCTAGAGTCCACGGAAGATTTAAGTCCTGCAACGCATCTGCGTTTCCTTTAACGGTGTCACGGGTGTGGGATCGTATTTGGCGGTCTGCTACTCTTGTTCCCCCTTCTCTCTCTCCTCCTAAAAAGGCCCTACATTGTGTTCAATGACGGGAAAAAAGTTGGGGTTCAAAAGTTGAACCAGAAATGAGACAGAGGATTCATCAAAAGCAGGAAAAATATGAAAGGCATTTGCGAAAAAAGATTGGGTATCTCTTGTCTTTATAAATAAGACTTCATGTAACAGCATCATTAAGATTAAATCTGAAATATAGTGGAATCTTCGAGACGCAAACTGGAATCGATTCTGATTCCAGTTTGCGTCTCGAAGTCAGCGCGCGGGAAGCGGCTGTCAATTAGTCGTCCAAGTCGGCAGAGTAAACAAAAGCCGAACTGATTTATCGACACGAATATAAACAAGTATAGACCGAAAAGGATATCTGACTCGTTGCGAATAAGTTAAACTAAATTATGATAGCACACTAGCGCCATCTTGTCAACAATTGTCACAAAAACCTTTATGTACTGTAGTTATCGTTTCGTATTTTTTATGCCCATATGATTTACATATTATCTTACAGAACTAACCATGGAAGTATTGCCTCTCTCATCGAGCCAGATGTCCTTGTTTGACTATACTTTTATAGTGTTATTCAAACTTTACGTCGGTTCGGAACGTACGAAACGCTCTATTGTACATCATAATGTCGAACGTAAAGGGGTTTCCGCGGAAAAGCTCCTTACTACAAGAGTTCTCGACTCACTGTGGACCTGGGTACCCATATACGCTAGCTAACCCCGAGCTACTATAAAGTTTGAACCGTATAATACTTTTACGTAAATTTTATTATTCGTCACACACACGAGTTTACAAAGTAATTTTATTTATTTTTTTAAGGTTTATCAATAAAATGTTCCACATAGGCTTTTTAAAGACTTTATCTGTTCTTTATAAACTAGCAGTTACTCGTGACTTAGTTCGCGCGAAAATAAAAAGAAATAGCAAAAAATATAGCCTATTTCACCCGGGGATAGTGTAGCTTCCGAACAATGAAAGAATTTTTCAAATCGGTTCAGTTTAAAAAACTCTGAAGCCTATTCGAATGCAACCACTCAAATTTGTCCTCATTATAATATCAGTAACTATTAGGCATAAAGAAAATTACAGTTTTTAATTTTAAATTAATTCGATAAATTTAAAACGCCCCTCTAAAACTCTACAGCGTTAAACTGAACGTGTAGAGTTGCGGTTTTATAGCTGTGTAACGTATACATTACGTAACGTGCTCCAACAATACACGAGAGCCTTTACCAAGCGGCGCTAATGCGAATACTGATTGTATTTCACTTAAACAACTAGGTACAGTCAAAGAATTAAATTACCTACCCACTTATAATCAAATATCTATAGGTAATCGTCACTATAAGAGCCGTAATTCCGCATATATGTTAACTATGATAAATTTTTGTTCTAATTGCTTTGTAACTTAAATGATCTTACGTCGTAATGGGTAGGAAATAACTGTCCTTAACTGTACGATTGTAACACACAGACGAGAAAGTTAATTGGAAACGAAGCGAAGCAACATTTTATATGAACCTGGCTTAAGGTTCACCTAAGTCCAAATGACATGCTCACTATGGGAAACCGTACTAATTATGATGTAAATCTTACTAATATTATAAATGCGAATATTTAGATGGATGAATGGATGCTTTCAGAAGGTATCTTCAGAAAGGTTCCATGGATCTCGCTGAAATTTGGCAAAGAGTAGATAATAGCCTGGAAGAACACATAGCATTTAAATTCCTAGCGAAGGGATTTGCAGACGACGTCTAGTGTCTTGTAATTTCCTACACTTGGTATGGTTTCGTTTGGCTTGTGTGTTTCAAGGCTTAATGAAAGCTATTACTATAATGTGTATCGCAAAATGAAGGGTATGTTCGAATAAAATAAATTCCGGGTAAGTCTTATATGGGTTCATGGTTATGTTGCCCGGTAATATACAACTAAGGTTACTAATAAAAATAATCATTACATGCCTTGCCACCATCTTGTTAAGTCCTTAAAAGGACGATGGGTAAAGTTACTACAACAACGCGCAAAAGGTACGTTTATTATGTATATACATCTATCTCTTTTTATCCCCACCAGATTTCTTCCGTCTCGCTCATGTAACGAAATCATATCGAACGTTCCGTGTCCTTGAAAATTTTCTCACTTAAACAATTCTTTACACTTGATTTACTTTTGTTCTTTTTTTTTAATTGAAATAACGAAAATAAAGATGTCAAATACATATATATTTATATTGACAGAAATATCAACATAGTATTAATGTAAACGGTAATTTAAGACATCCTAAAGTAAAATATTCCTTTGACTCTGTACGCACGCTTTGACCTTTATAATCTTCTCGTTTGACAAGCTTACGCAATGATGAGCAATTTCAAGTACAGTCAAGGCAATTCGCGGTGTTCAAATTACAGAAAAAATTCCGTGTACCTCGCAACGAGAGAACCTCCGTCCTCTCTTACAAAATAACCAATTAGGTAGTAATGTACAAGTGGCGGTGTTATAGTAAAAGCAATTAGTAGTCTACCACTAACCAATCTTTTTCCGTACAGATAAATTTAAAAGCTGCATCCTGTTGGTTAATATTGCACGTCATAGTCTCAATGCGTATGAAACGTTGTAATGAACTGAGGTCCCTTTTAGGGGGATAAACGCCAGATTCCCCGATAGTACTTGTAGTCATTTTCTTCACTAAATGGTTAAAACCTTAAATATCTCGGAGGAAAAATTTTCCATACCACCATCAGGACTCACAACAAGATAAATACTTTGAAATAAATATAGTAAACGCTAAATACAGAAATATTTGACTTGTTCATAGTAAAATAAGACGTCAAATC